CCTGTGAGAAAAAAAATGCTGTTTATAAAATTAAAAATAATTTTACATGTTATGTAAAGGATATTAATTATGTGAGTGTTAATATTTTTTAGACTGACAAATAATTCACACATTTGTGGTTTACCAAGTATAAAAGCACAATTTGGAGCAGTTTGCAGAGGAAATTCCTTTGGATTTCATTTGACTCTGCTAGTTCATTTGCAATGTCCTCATGGGTTCTTTATTGCTCTTGAAGAAGATCACTATCAGTCTTCATTGAGTGGAGGTTGTATGCACACCAAGGAAAAAGAACCGAACAAATGTCACAATGTAATGCCATTCATGAATCTTTGGACTGCAGAAACAACAGAATAATAAATTGTATACCAGTATAAATAGACAGAAGGGGAAATGTTAAATGGAAATATAATTTAACCCTTTTTTGTGCTAAGAGTAATTTTCTAGTTTTTGCTTGTTATCTAAAATCATGCATTTTAATGATTTCATTTTGTTTGGTACTCACCTGGGATTTTTATATATTCTTTTAATGAAGGATATTCTATTATTATTATTTTTATATAGCACCAACAAATTATGTAGCGCTTTACAATGAGTGAACTAACAAACATGTATTTGTAACCAGACACATTTGACGCTTAGGAACAGAGGGGTTTAGGGCCTTCCTCAATGAGCTTACATGCTAGAGGGAGTGGGGTAAAGAAACACAAAAGGTAAGGATAGTATTAGGAAAGTAGATTGGTAGAATAGTATTGACTGAAGACTTAGTGTGTTTTTTTTTTGTTTTTTTTAATGACAGTTGCAGGAGACGTATCAGTTGGGAGCCATTAACAGTTTAATTGATACGCATTTGTGAAAAAGTGAGTTTTTAATAATTTTTTGACGGAATGGAGACTGGGAGAGCGTCTAACGAAAAAGGGAAGGGAATTCCACAGGATTGGTGCAGCCCTAGAGAAGTCATGAAGGCTAGCATCAGAGGTGGGAATACAAGCAGAAGATAGACGTAGGTCTTCAGCAGAGCATATGGGCTAAGACAGGACATACTTATATGTGTATTAGGGAGGATAGATAGGTGGTAGTAGCATTATGTAGATATTTGAAAGCAAGAACCAGAATTTTAAATTGAGCCCTATATCTTACGGGAAGCCAATGCAATGACTGACAGAGGGGTGAGGCGTGGGAGGTTCGGATGAACAGGAAGATGAGCCTCGTTGCCACATTTATCATAGACTGTAATGGGGCAAGTTGGGAGCACGTAATACCACTAAGAAGCGGATTGCAGTAGTCAAGGCTAGAGAGGACAGTGGCACCAGGACCTTAGCTGCATCTGGCATTAAGTAGGGTCGGATGCACGCAATGTTTTTGAGATTGAAGAGGCAGCTTTTGGTGATCGACTGGATATGAGGGGTGAAGGAGAGGTCGGAGTCAAAGAGAATACTTAGGCAGCGAGCCTGTGTGGTGGAGCTCATGGTAGCACCATTAACATGGAGGGAGACATAAATGGGAGTATTAATACTTGAGGGAGGAACGACAAGAAGTTCTGTTGTGGACAAGTTGAGCTTAAGGAAGTGGGCAGCCATCCAGTTTCAAATAGCAGGGAGGCAGTCAGAGACACAAGTCAAGAGGGGCAGGGAGAGCTCAAGAGAGGACAGATAGATTTGCGTGTTATCTGCATAGAAGTGATTTTGGAAGCCAAAGGAGCTGATGAGTTTACCAAAGGAGGATTATAGATCTAAAACAGTAGGGGACCAAGGGCTGAACCTTGGGGGACACCAACAGAGAGGGGTTGGGGGGAAGAGGCAGAGCCATAGAAAGAAACACAAGAAGAGCACTGGGAGAGGTAGGAGGAGCACCAGGAGAGAGCAATATCTCGTAGACCGATTGCATTATGTTTCCAACCTTCACTATAAAAGTTCCATGATTCTAAATCTAAGGTTAAAAAATAGGATTATGCACACATGCAGGGTTATTCACTAAAAAACAGATTTTGTCTGAATGGATAAAATATGGTGAAATGACTGAATACTGACCATGTTTGCAATTCGCAGACTTATAAAAGCCAGATGTGGTCATGATTCGGTTGGTCTGATCGATTCTGTAACATTTGTAAAGATGAGTTTGGAAAACCAGTGATTTTCACATCTGAACCAAGTGACTGCATTAGAATCTGAGATTTATCAAAGACCTCATGGCAGACGATGGTAAACCAAATTTATCCATCAAGATGCATGTTCGCAAATGATCATTTACTTGATTTTTGCCTGCAGGCTGCACTGGCAGTCAGTGGGCAAATAGTTAAAAACCTTTGATGCTTGCTAGCCAGCCGCCACATGGAAACTGTAAAAATAAATAAATAAAAATCCTATAAGGATCCATACTATTGTTATAATGATGGTAGTTACCTATTGTTCCATACCAAGACCCCACCCATACCATTGGATGGGATCCCTAATAGTTATAGGTAGTTACCTATGTTCTAGTCTGACTTCCCCCTCTCATGCTGGCAGGCAGGGGCCCTAATATTAACAAATAAGGTGAAACTCCTCCTCACCCTAATAACAGTAAGGAGAAAGCCAAAAAATCTAAAACCTGTAAAAAAAAACCAACTAATTATTCTGTTCTTCAGCCCCAAAAAAGGGCAAATCCATAATAACCAACAACATAAACGAAAATTAAAAAAATAGGCCGCATCGCAAAAATAGTCTACCAGAAATATTGAGACATACCGCATCCTTCTTCACCCATGGAGGACTTGCCATTCACCTTATATCGGACTTTCCATGCTATGACAGCTATTACAAAAAGCGTAGAGAATATACATTTCACAGGGGTTCCTGAAAAAATATCCCCACCTATTATTATATTATATAGAGGTAATAAGAAGTCAATATAGCTTGCATGTTAGTGGCTGCTTATATGGGCTACATGTACTTAGCAGAGTAAGGTTTGACTCAGCTTACTGAACAGCAATTTCCCCTTCAATGGAGGTATTGCTATTCAATAAGCAGAGTAAACCCTTACTCTGCTAAGATAATGCAGCCTTTACAGTGTTATTCACTAAAGAAAGAATTGGCAGGAATTGAAAGTGAATTCAAAATGAATTTAAAATGTAAGTCCCAAAAAGATGAAGTAGAAAGTCAAATGACTTGGAGATTTTTTCCAAATCGGCTATTATGCCCTTTAATTTGGAATTCACTTTGAATTCCCTACAATTCCCATCTTGTGCGTCATCAAATATAGGCCAGAAATTCCTCAGTTAATTTCTAACTCAAACATTATAAAATAATCATAACCTGATATATAAAATATTATTTATGTAGTTACTTATTTTTATTTACAAATGACTCTATTAAATTATAATAACTTTAAACACTTTTTATAAAATATTTATATTTTATAATTTTCACTTGACTTTTACCATGTAATGGTTGCCACGAGGCATTGAAATTTGTGATCATTACAGAGTATTTATCAGAGAATGTTTTTAGACTCATGCACCATATTTACTTTGAACACAGCTCAGTCCCTTAGGATTTGTATACCATGAAGTGGTACTGTACTGTGTATAAGATTATTGTAATATCCTAAGGCTGAATTTTCAATGCCCATACCATGTGCATTTTAAGTTTAACATACTGAAATATTAATTTGTGCTGAAGATATCGAGGTCTAGATTAGTCATATATTTGTATAATGTTTTTTATATTTTGTTTAATTTTGTAGCATGACCTCCCACATTTAGAATTAATGTTACTCTATATTTAATTATGTAATTCACAATCGTTATAGTACATTTAACAAAGTAATGTGTTACAGCTGTATTACACAATTAAGAAAATAAACAGTACAAATGTGTACGTATTATGGGATTGGTAAAATATTTAAAGGGCTACTTAGAAATATATTCAGAAATATAAGTTAAGCAGCAGTTAATGCTTGCAATGCAAAATAACAATTCATACAATTGCTGTAAGATATTTATAGAATATAACATTAGAAATGATATATAGAAAATAAGTAAGAAACAAAACTAGTAAACAAAACACACACATATATCATAGGCTTGCGCACGGGGTGTGCCGCGGCACACCTATGGATTGAGACCGGCTGTGGAGATCTCAGGATCTCCTCTAACGGCTCATGCAGAGCCGGTGCTATCCAAGCGCCGGCTCTACTCTAAGCCTCCATGGGCCAGTGAGGAGATCAAAGATCTACCTCACCGGCCCTCAGCAGCATGGAGGTCAGCAGGAGAGGACCCAGGGAGCTCTAGCCAGCAGCTCCGCCAGGTACGCTCAGATCTCAGAGTTCACTCTCCACTGGACCACCAGGGATGGCACATGGCAGCAAGGATCCCCCCTCCCTACATAAGGTAAGAAGGGAGGGGGGATATTTACTAATCTGCCCCCACCTCCACCCCAATAATCCCTCCAAACATACCGCACACACACACATACAGCACCCTCACACACACAGCACACACATACAGCACACAAACAGTACACAGTACACTAACAGCACCCTCACAAACACACACACAGCACCCTTGCAAACACACAGCACCCTCACACACAACACACTAACAGCACCCTCACAAACACACACACTGCACCATCACACACACAGCACACAAACAGCACCCTTACACACAAACAGCACCCTCACACACACAGCACCCTCACACACACAGCACCCTCACACAGCACACTAGCAGTACCCTAACACACACACACAAACACCCTCACACACACACAGCACACTACCAGCATCCTCACACACAGCACACAAACAGCACCCTCACACACAGCACACTAACAGCACCCTCACAAACACACACACACACACACACACAAACAGCCTCACCCACATAGCACACTACCAGCACCCTCATGCACACACATCACACTAACATCACCCTCACAAACAGCACCCTTACACACACACACACACACACACACACACACACAGCACACTAACAACACACACACACAGCAGTGTATGTATGTGTGTGTGTGTGTGTGTGTATATATGTATGTGTATGTATATATATATATATCTATATATATATATACATGCATACATATACACGCGGCCTGTGTTTGTGCTTTAGGGTGCACACCCTAATGCAATAGGCTGCACAAGCCTAATATATATATATATTTGTGGTCGGGATTAAAGTCAGTTGTGGTATAAAATCGGTTGTGGTGTGAAACCAACATTCGGGTAGTCCTGTAAATAAAGAGGGCCAACCAAGGTAGTGAATTGGAAGAGAGAGCGGTAGGTGGAATGAATTGATTGGCAACAGCCCAGATGAGGGGACAGCCTGAGTTTAAATAGCTGGGTAACCCCTCTCACAACTCAACATTGCAGCCTTAATATTTGTGGTCAGGAACAAAAGCTATGATAATGCAAAGTAGTTTGTGATTTAAAGTCAGTTGTGGTGTCCCGAACCAGCGTTCGGGTACTAAAAAAATAAACAAACTTGCCTGGGTACCACTTCGACTTTTAAATGACAATCACAAAGAATGGATGCACATACAGGCCTTCACACACATGGGTTTTGATGGTGTTACAATGGGTGTTGCTCCAGGTGGACTCACCCCAAGGCCCTGGTTTGTAATAAAAGGGCCTTAACGTGCATTTGATATATAAGAAAGGAAGTAAAAAATGAATCTAAAATTGTATTAGTCATTGGGTCTCCTGCAAAATTCCACTGATGGTGAGGACATGAAAGGAAATTAAAGTTTGTGTTTGGGAGGGTGGTTAAATGTGGAATATAAACAAAAACAAAAATTAAAAACAAAGTTCTCATGCGTCCTAAAATGAAAAAAGGGAAAGGAAGCAGCAAGATGCCAAATGTACATACTGTACTGAAACTCTAGGAGAATGTCCAGCTGTCACTGCAGAAATGGTGAATAATTTGATTCCAAATCTGGATCTTCTTTCACTGGTGAGCACTAGATGGTCAGGGGTAGGTCAGGCAGAGTCCCATATACTACAAAGACTAGCAAAGTTTAAACTGTGTTCACTTCTTTTTTGCAATCAGTGACTTTGCTGACAAAATTTGTGGACTTTGTAGCTCCCAAGTAAGGAAGTTACTGATCCAAGTTCCAATCTCCAGTTTAGAATGGTGTGAGAAGGTAGTAGACTTCCATAGCAAACACATTGTCTACCTCCACTGACCACAATGAGCCAACACCTCTCTCACCCTTTGTCAAACTACACTTACCTAAGGAGAATAATGTTAGGGTTTGTGAAGTACCAGGAGATGTTTCCATGAAAAAAAAAAAAAACTCACATGTTGTTTGTTTGATCTACTTTCTATTTAAGAAATATCATACAAAGTAAACTATTTTCATGAAGGACAAACCATCCCAGACATTTCAAACTAACTTTGGTGTTGGTTGAAATTACCTATTGTGCTTGTAATTGTAAATTTGACCTTGATCAGCCTTATAATTGAAAAATGATAATTCTACAGAACAGTATGCTCTCTTAGCCTCACTAAACAGTACATTTTGAACAATATCAATTACAGTTAAACCACTTTGTCATACTTTAATTATGGATAAAAAGAGCAGTTGGCACTCATAGGATCCCGATCCTTGCCAACAGGCAAATTCACTATGCAATGGTAGTAACAAAAATATTTCATCTTTAATGAATCTACTGTATTATTGAATTTCTTGTGTAAGAAAAGAGCATATAAGATGAGTATAAAAATACAAATATGCTTGTATGTATGCATTTGATTTTGGTATGTATGACTTATTACATCTGTCAATGCATCCTTCTTCTTTGAGTGCATAAGACTTCTTAGCGTAAGAGTAGGTGCATGGCTGAGGAGATGTACAGCAATCATCACTGAACTGTGGAAACCAAGAAGTAGTCCACACAATGAAGGTCTGTTTTTAATGAATTATATACAATAGTGTAATATTAATTCTTAAAAGTGAAAAAAATATATCACTCACTGAATCTTGCCTCAAGACCTATCAGATATAAACCCGGCATTCACAATGTTTGAGAACCAGATTTCTAAGGATATTGACTGAAAGTCACATATATCAGGAGTGCTAAATTAATCCCTTGGTGTCATAGACTATCATTAGAAGTGTTGTTTACATCTCAATATATTTACTTAAATATACACATTTAATAAATTCAGCTCAGAATGTATGAGCAATGGAATGCTTAATGCTAATCAACTCACTACTACTACTACCTGGTTTTAACTTCTGGAAAAAATATACATAGCCTCAACGATGTGAAGCAAATTTCAACTTTATTGGATCATAGGGATTTTTTCCAATTAATTGGCATCGCATACACAAGGGTTTATATATTAAACAGTGAATTTTAATGTACAAAAAATGTAAAATTAGGCTATATGAGATGATTTTTATGATTTGGAAAAATTCTACAACTCAGCTACTGTTACCGTTTTTTGTAATGTGACTTTCAATTCCTTGATCAGTTTTCAGTTCATTAAATAATCCCCACTGAGTTGTTCACTATACTGGGAGTTGAATAAAAGAGCTAAGCTACAAAAAAATAGTTGGATATTTTTTTTTCCAATTAAGTTGTTTGGCCTGAAATTTACAATTCCCTGGTTTATTCAAACTCCTGTTTTAGTACAAAGATACCAGTGTGTATTTTTTATCAGTAAATGTTTCTAAGGTTTTAAAGCTTCAAATGTAGCTCCAAGAGGAATTTTATAAAAAAAAAAAAAAAAATCTTGAAGTGGTAATTACAGATATATTTGCTATTATTAGTTTAAATGGGAAAAAATGTCATTTTGTTAGTTTAGCTTTGTTTTTATGTTTTAAAAGAAATGCAGATGAGAAAGTTTAAAAAAAAACCTCTCAAAAAAGATGAACAAAATCTTAGATAAATGAATATATAATCAAGCCATGTAGACAACCATTACAGCACACATTTTCGGTCGCTATATTATGGATTTTGATACATGTGAGAGGTTAATTTATAGCTGTTAGAATTCTTGCCGACCACTGGATGACGTGCACAGAGATATTGATATGAATTTTAGCAGAAGCGTATTCTTGAGCTAGAAGAATTGTTTACGATCATATTTAATACAGAAATATTTCCTATCTTAAAATAAGCTAGAAAGGACTACTTTACAGCAATGTGTTTTGCCAGCAAATGTTGCCCTTTGCTGCTAGGCTTAGCTCAATAGCAGGAGATCCAGAAGCAAGTTAGGTGGCAGCGGGTGCCCGGAGGGACCAAGGTAATTGGTTGTCAAACAATATTTATGGAATATCACTAATTACTCTGGGAGGGTAAAGAGTGGTTATTGTGCTTGGAACATTCCCTTAATTACTATATTGCTTTGTTACAGGGGCAGTTGAGTAAAGGGTGTGTGTCTATTATCTAGAATTACAATGTACTATATTTCTATATGAAACTCATCTCCATATTCTGAAGTCGTGTTGCCATGTTTACCTCTATAAATAATGTATATCCTCATAAAATGGAATTCATATATTTGCAATCTATATTTTAATTTCTTTTTTTTTTCTTTTTTTTATTCATATTGCTCGTCAGTCTGATGGTTAAATATAAAATGTTGCTCATAACTCCAAATATAGAATATTAGATAATTTCAAACATGTTCTGCAAATTCATTTTTTTTACAATATCAAGAATGCTCCAGATAACCCTTGATCTTTTATTTTAACGGCATTGTATCTAAAAAAAAAAAAAAATTAAGCTCAATAAATGATATGCATTTATATTTTTACATCATGCTAACATCTCTCATTGACCTTTCAGTTGATCATGCAGTAATTCTCTTTTAACAGCTGAATGACTATTTAATTAACAGAATGTGGAATTAAAAAAGAAATTATTAAGTGGAGATGACCGTCTGACTCAAATACTTCTTCCATCATCACTTTCAAAGTAATGGAAGATTCCCTAAGGAAACTTTTTTTCCTTGAAAATAACTCTGGGTGTCTACTATTAAATTGTGTTTTTATGACCCTTCAATATCCAAATATTTAATGATGTTTTATGGTTTTAATACCGTACAGCCTAACTAAGCAATGTATAACAGAATATACACTATATTGGGGTAGTGCAAATATGTGCAGAAGGAGATTTTATTTTTAAAAATAATATATTAATAGCTAACGTGGATCTCATTTGCATACTGAAGGCAATCATTAGGTAGTTGAAGAAAGTTGTTTTGTTCCCTGTAGAATGTAATGTTGGAGTGTAATCAGTTCAACTAGGGTTATCATTGGCTACTGGTGTTATAAGCTCTCAATAGCTTTTTTTTGTATACAGAAGAAGTGATTTACCAAGGGAAAACAGGTGCTAAAAAAGGAGAAATCAGTTTTATCCTTTTGTTTGTGAATAGCATGTTTTACATTAAAGGGACACTGTAACTGCCTTATCTTACAGAAGTGTTTGAAGTCCCCTGGCCCCATTTTTCCATTCACCGTTAAGCCATTTTTTATGTTTTAATGCTAAACAAGAGTCCAGAGGAGTTCTTCCCTTCTGTTCTGCTTGGGGTAATGAGGAATCATTAGCCTGAGCAGCAATAGATGGCTGTGATTGGATGAGAATATCATCCCAATATTTTCAATCGACCACAGCGCCTACTGCTGGTATGAATTACTATGTCATTTCTGCCATAACTGTACCTCCAGTACAGACAAGGCTGTGGATATTAAGGGACCCTTATTTGCGTTAAATTCCTTCAAAACCTGAATGATGGGATAGTGCCAGAGGTCTCCAGGCACTATAACCACTTTAATTACATGAAAATTGTGATTAACCAAGTGAAACCTGAAGGTTTCCGTCATTTCCATAGTGCACAATATATTGGACAGGGGCTAATCGAATGCCCGTCAATAGCAATGTAAAAGGGTTTGAAGAATTTCTAAAGTTTTTAGGCAAGCTAGTTCGTAGATGACAAAATAATTATCTAGAATATCCCTTTATCAAGAACTAAAAGTACAATTATTGATGGCAGCCTCGTCATCAAATCCAAAATATTCAATATATACCAGGGACAAATGTTGGATATATACAAGGGATACAGAGGAGGAGCTACAGTGGGAGTCAG